CCAATTTCAGCTACTTTGCGAAAAAATTATATTTACATTCCTTAAAAACTGATCAAAATAAAAAATGAAAAAGGTAAATATTAATGCATCTCCCACAATTTTTCTTAATTTTAATTAAAAAGACATGTATCAGAAAAATCCTGTTGGTAAAAATAGAAAAATGGTAGACCATTTTTGGTTGCAAGTGAAAGGAGAGACAAAATAGTAGACACTTAAGATTATTGTGCACACGTCATATGAAAGATCTTATCGTCGGCATCGTCTCAACTTCCGTTTTCTCGCCTCCAAATAGTATTTTTTACGAAATTCGAGCGAGCAGTCACGACCAACGGACATTTGAAACTCGTAACTCGATCGCGTGCTGACTTGGCCTAGCAAACAACTAGCAACGTCTCGTCATAGCCTACGCTCGAAAACAACACACATATTTCCGCCTATCTTTCTTATCCCTGCGTCTTGATGCAATTCGATTTCTTCGAAATTAAAAACGGATCTAATTCCATGCGATTGAATTGCGAAAAAAATAAGTTATCACAAAGTGACCGCTTGCAACAAAACCGGTGGTTTTTTAACTAACATTCGGATGCAGAATAGAGATTCGAAATGGCTAACGATATTTCTTAAACAGCCATTTACCGGTACATCTATCTTACTTGGAGAATAATGACACGACGGCTCGTTTTTGATCTTTCGAAATACTTATTCCATGGCATAGTAGCGTTTTCTTGGGCGGTCGACTTGGTCGGTTGATTGGCTCCGCCGGAAGTGGATCGACAAAACCGCGGGGTTCCCATTCGTACACTTGTAAAGGTACAAAGGTACACGCGTAAAGGTCCTTGTATCCTCCTTGGGGTGCCCCCGCAGTATTCTCGAAGGGCCTCTTTGCGGGTGTAGGTGGTCCCCACCGTCCGCGAACGGCAATCATTTCGCTTAATGACGAGAGAGAACCTCGGTTCTTTCCTTTCTTCGGTCTCAGATTATCGCGCCGTGGTTGATGGTTCTTCCTCTATATCCACAGGACCACTTGGGTCTCCTTCCACCTTCTTCTTTGCGTCCTCGCCGCGCCCTCTGCCCCCGCTACTGCACCTTTTATCCCCGAACTCTGTAATTTTCCTCTAGCGACCATGCCACCACGTCGCGTCGAAATTGGTGTACGGTGGAACGATTTCGTGGAAATATACGTGGTCGTCTAAAAAAAAAAGAGGGGAATCGGGCGCGACGGTGACGGTGGCACTTCTACTCCGCGACCTCAGAAAGGAAAAGAAAAGGAACGACGGGAAAAGAAAAGGGAATTGGGCGAGAACGAAGACGAACGAGTCGAAGGAGAACGACGAGAATTAGGAGAGGAAAGGTAATAAGTGGAGGAGAGCAGAAAAGATAGCGGGAGAGAGAGGAAGTCAGAAGTCTCCCCTCGTTCTGGGAATAGTCGTATGATGAGAAATGGTAACGCTCTTTCGCTTTCCTCTCTCGACAGTCGACAGTCTCGACGCGACGGTGAGATCTGCAGGTGCACCAATCTCTCGCCTCGATGTTGCAGGGGCGCCGTGCAAGCGTGACAACACGCAACATTTCTTTCTATCATGCCAAAAATGATACACATTGGCCGCGCAGATGGAAGTCATTATTATTACAAAGAAGCGTTTTTGCTGCCCGCCGTCTGTCGCCGGACACATAGACGCGCTGACGGCTTACTGAGAAAAGCTCTTCGTCCCAAGGAGGAGAGTAGGTTTCTCTCTCCCTCTCCCTCTCTGTCTTTTTTTTTTTTCTCAGATGTCTCCGCGAGGCGAAATCATCGCAAAATCACCGAAACTTGCGATGCGCGCGTTCCCACGTCATTAAAACTACCGCCGATCCCGATCACTTTCGTGGAATTCGTATCAAGCATGATGCGCGACGAGTGACATCCTGAAATCGTGGAACATTTCCATGCGTGGAAGGAACATGAGGAGCGACTTAATTTCCGGGAAATATCCCGCATGCCGCTGCGCGCGCCGTCATGTTACCAGTTATGTGATGGCTAAAGTGCGTCCTCGGTTCTCCGCGCTCTCCTCTGTGCTTCCAGCACCTGTGAGGAAAGCCGGGCAGTGCGCACTGCGCCCGTTGGCCGAGCAAACAATACGGACGATGATGCGCCGTCCTGAGCGCATTGTCCGCCACGCTCAGCCACGCTGGCGAGGCAGTAGTAGGCGGCGGATTTATCTACCTACTCGTAGAGTCAGGTAGAGACGAGAGAGAGAGAGAGAGAGAGAAAGAGGAATTGATAGAGAAGGGAAGAGAGAAATCTAGGGGTTCTCGACCCCCGAGACACGTCGCATCGCTGTGCCGCGCGGCGGCCGACCGACTGCCGCCGCGCCGTCGGAAACGCCGGTGGATCGTCCTTTCGTTTCGGGCTGATTTCGCGCGGTCGGCGCCTCGGTGATCTATCAAATGCCTATCATCTCGCAAAGTAACAAATTACCACGACGATCTTTCTCGATGGGTCTCTCGAAGCGGAGCGTATTGACGAATTTTTGTAACGGCCGTGCGAACGAGATCTGATTTGCGACGGTTCTACGGCGATTGTCGCGACCGATGCTCGTTATCTCATCTCCGTTAATTTCTCTGTAAACATATCCAGTTAACGTTAATGGGCTTTCTACAATAAGCTGTTATACTTAAATTTTAAATCTTAAAGTGATAAGAAATTGATCGATCACAGTCGAATGTAAGAAGAATCGATTATCATTGGTCAGTTTTTTATAGCTTAAGACTTAAAGCTTAGGTAATGACTTATTGTAGAAAGGGGGGAATAAATACCAAAGTCTTGCATAAAATATAATACGTAATGCATAAAAAGAACCAATCAAAGTTCTTCATTTCCTTCTTTTTTATAAAATAGAAGACTTCGGTTAGTGGATTTTCTTATGCTTTATGTATGCATTTACGTAAGAGAATTTGTGCTCTCCTATCTTATACTGAGAAAAAACTTGCTATTTAAAAAAAAAATTAGTTGATTCAACTAAATGCAGCGGTAAAGGCTGTCAAGTAAATATTTGTTAATTCAAATAAATAATGTTGATATGACTGAATATTTTTAACTTAAATATACATGTAAATACTTGAACTATATAATTACTACGAGCTAAACGTATTTAGTCAAGTTAACAATTTTTTTCTCAGTGTAATCATTTATGAAAAGTTTTATTTCTATTTCCAATATATTTGGAATAGCAAAAAAATTGTCATAAAATATTTAAATAATCATAAAATCTTCAGAATATTGATGAACACTTGTATAATGTCAAAAATTTCATCACGACAGAGGGCCACGGCAGAGATATATTAATGTAAATAAAAATCATATTATAAAAAAATCATATTATAGAGGAAATATAAACAGCATAGCATTTCGACTGAAATGAACTTCAAGATAAAAAATAAATGAAATGTATTTTTGTTATTATGTTTAAAGCTTAATTCAGGGATTTCTGAGGTTTGGAATTTCTGGAAAAAAATAATAATTTTGCGAATATATAGAGAACATTCTCCGAATATATAACAAATAGAATTTTTAACGATTATTTCAATGTTGTTCTTACATTCATAAATATTTATCGAGATATTCTGGAAATATTCCTGAAATGTTATTTTGAGATTTTAGGAACATTTTGTAAATATTTCAGAAATATTTAGCGCTAAGATATAGCAGTTGGATATTACTTTTATAATCGCTGCGTGCACGTTTGCGTGCTATGCTACAATTCGCTGAGGTTGTCCCGCAATCGAAGAAACACTGATAGTCTAATGTTAGCCGATACTTTGAGCTCCGCATTTTACGATAGTGCTTAGATTTTTTTGTAATCATAATTGCGGCTGTTAAAAATGTCCTGTGACATTGATTGACAAGGATATTGGCTCTTGAGGCGATCGAATATTTATAATACATATATTTTCTGACGAGGAAGTATTTATATCATATAAATTTATTCATTATAAATTTATGATATCTAATTCTCTCTGTATGAAGACATTTAAAAAAATAATAATAATAATAATAAT